AGGTAACATTTCCGCCAGTCCTTCGCCGCTTTACAAACTCTGATTTAGAACAGGCCGTCAATAACCCTGATTTTCTGGAGGAAAACTTACCTCCATTCCCATGTCACACACAGGCTGTAGAGAGAACAGTTCAGCTCGTATCTAAAGCTTCCAAAAAAGTGACTGGGCAAGATGGGAGAGATGGGTTTATAAGAAACACCATTCAGTCAAGGCAATCTATGCCAAAGTTCAGAACAAAGTCAGAATATAACTGCGTTAACTAAAAGCAGCATATCCCTTATGGTTGGTTGGTTGGGTAGGGATAGGGCGGGACTCGATGTGTGGCCACCTTCACGTGGTGAGTCCTGAGTTTTTTCCTCCATAGGAAAAAAGCGAAGAGCCACACTTCAAACTAGCAAAGTATATATATACATTCATACAATTAGTAGAAAATGCCTGAATTTGACCATTTTTACTGTTATTTAGAGGATTTTTAGAGTGTACTATAGTCCCCGCAGTTACGCCATACCGGTCGAGGGGTGTTGGGTGATGTTCAAACTCACCATTTTCACCAGCAGACTCCACCGGAAGCGCCACAGTGGCTGTATTGCGGGTTGCCTACACACGGGCAAATCTCACGTTTTTCCGTATTTTCAAGGCCACCGTTGACCCTGAAAATATTATCTGATCGAAAAACGATTTTACACAGTCAATCTGGTCTATAGGTAGCACACTTTCCGCATATAGCCGATATCAATATCGAAAAAAGTGGGTAATCGCTACCCCTTACCGAGTACCCCGTCAGCTCGTTCAGTGCTTTGTGTACCTCGACGCCATGAAGATGTCGCTCAACGCGGTGCCGGTGCTGCTCGCCCTGGTGCTGGTGCTCGAGTACATCAGCGCGGAGACCAGCGCCGCCAGCAGCACGCCCAGCGCCATCAGCAGCGCGACCAGCGCCCCCAGCAGCACGACCAGCACAGCCAGCACAACCACCGGACCGACCAACCCGACCAGCGCCGCCAGCACAACCAGCACGACCAGCGAAGCGCCCAGCGCCCGCTCGGCGACTGAGAAGTGGGAAGAGTTGGAAGGTTGCTTTGAAAAACGCCAAGTGAGTCTCCGAGGACGATACAATATTGTGAACGCTCTCAGAGTAGCTGCTACGTACTTTGGGGCTAGTGCCGCTCTTGCGTATTCATTTGTGCTTGCCCGGATCACAAACAGATACGCAAGGATTGCGCGAGCGCAGAAACACACATGAAACATAAGTGTATAACTAGTGCGGGTGCGCACCAGCGCACCTGGCCCTCCGCCTGATCAAACACCGGCCGCACGTCTTGATTGCTAAATACTAGCATTCTTTTAGAGGCGTCCACACTTTAGCATCCTACAGACACCTAAACGAGGGCCAATAATTGCCAGTCCTTGACAGCTGGTCCACATCCGCAGTGAGGCCTGCCCAGCATTTTCCGCGGCCCACGGCGGTACAACAGGGTGGCCACGCAATCGGAGCTATCAAATTCCCTGACTTTTCCCTGACCTTTCCCTGACTTTTTACGCAAATTCCCTGACTTTGAAAGGTATTTCAAGTGGAACTTTTTGCTTCCCCAAAAATTGGAAATGCCACCGAAAGTTTGAAAATAACAATTTTGGGCAAGATTCAGTCATTTTCCCTGACTAACGTTCAATTTCCCTGACTTTTCCCTGATTTCGCCGCTGACTGACCGTCCCTCCCCGTGTTGCAGTGCGACAACGTCACCTGCGAGGAGTGCTCCCCGGAGGATGGGTACTGCGCGGGGATGTGCAGGCTGAAATGCAGGTGTAGCTGTGGCGGCTACAAGATCAGCACGGACCCCGACCTGTGGATTCTGGGGTTGCGATTGCGAAGCGAGCACGATTGCAGAGGTCAACCAACACTAGACCAGTGTTCGAGGAGCTGCAGCGAGGATCAGGAATGCCAGCACGAGTGTGAGCTGAAGTATCTCCAGTGCCTGTGCGCGCGCCTGCAGTCGGCTGCTCGTTCCAAAGACAGCGTAGCGATCACCACAACCACAGCCACCTCATGCAGCTTAGCCTACGTGATAATTAACGAGTGGCGCGACTGTTTAGCCGACTGTTTCGTCGAGTGCGACGCTGGCTCTGACGAGGAACCGGAATGCAGGGTTAGGGGGAAACGGAAGAGACACAACTGCGCCTGCGCTTGCGCGGGCCTCCCCAGCGCCACGGACTACGACCATCTGGATGAGTCTGATGAGTGCCTGAAGGAGGTGGAGAGGAACGGTGAAACATGTATACGGACAACCTTCGGGCCGCAAATCGATCCCGAGCGTTCGGACTGGTGCAGGGTGTTCGAGCACAGGCGCCAGTGCGCGTGCCTGGCGGCAGGTGCGGCGGGCAGCAGCGGCGCTGCAGAGTACAGGATGGGCACTAAGGACAAGGAGCAGCTGTTGCGGTGCGCCGAGGCATGGCGGGTAAGTCTCTCGCTGCCCTACCCCCCCCCC